ACGCAGCCCCTGCCGCTGCTCCCCGTGGGTCCTCCAGTGGCGTGTCCTTCATCCCCTGGGCCACCCCGTGTCCTGGGGAACCCCCACCCAGGGGTGGGCGCTTCTCATCAGCCTTGCTGGGGCAGGCGCTGGGCTGTGGTGCCCAGCCGGGGGCAGAATCGGGTCCCCTTATCCAGGGGACGGCCACGGGGACCCTGGTGCAGGGTGCTGAGCTCTCCCCTGGAGGGCACGGCAGCGTGCCCACCCGCCTCCCGCCTCTCTGCCCGCAGAGTTTGCAAACCTGATCCAGCTGCTCTGGACCTCCTCCCCCAACGACAGCGTGAGCCCGTCCGAATTCAAGACGCAGATCCAGAGATACGCCCCCCGCTTCGTCGGCTACAAGTAAGGGGTGTCCGTGGGGGGGGTGCCAGGGGGGGAGCCCAGCCCCGGGCGCCCCTCACGGGCCGTGCCCCGTGTCTTGCAGCCAGCAGGACGCTCAGGAGTTCCTGCGGTTCCTCCTGGACGGGCTGCACAGCGAGGTGAACCGCGTGCTGGTGCGGCCGCGGGCCAGCACGGACACCCTGGACCACCTCCCGTGAGTGCTGGCCGGTCCCACAGGGGAGCTTGCCACCTGCAGAGCCAGCCCAGGCTGGGTCACAGGGGCTGGTGTCCCTGAGACACACCCAGCACCTCTCTGTTTCCCCATCTCTTGCAGGGACGACGAGAAGAGCCGCCAGATGTGGAGGAGGTACCAGGAGAGGGAGGACAGCCGCATTAGTGGTGAGCAAGAGGAGGTAAAGCTGAGCTGGGAGTGGGGCTGGGAACCAAAGATCTCACCCTGCTCTGTCCCATCCCCACCAGACCTCTTCGTTGGGCAGCTGAAGAGTTCGCTGACCTGCAGCGAGTGTGGCTACTGCTCCACGGCCTTCGACCCCTTCTGGGACCTCTCCCTGCCCATCCCCAAGGTAAGGGATCCCCGTGGACCTCCGGCCCCCCTTGCTCTGCCCACCCTGGCCCTGACCCACGCTGTGCTCCCACAGAAGGGCTATGGGGAGGTGACCCTGATGGATTGCCTACGGCTGTTCACCAAAGAGGATGTGCTGGATGGGGACGAGAAACCGGTACGTGGGAACCCCCACGTTCCCCGTGGGGCAGGGGGCAGATGGGTTTGCCTGGCTGCAGGCTGGGCCCCTTTCCCTCCACACCTCCTGTGTTACCAGGAGTGTGGGCTCGGGGTTTGGCAGGGCTGGCCTCTGCCCTCACCATCCTGCTGGTGCTGGTGTCTCCCACAGACGTGTTGTCGCTGCAAAGCCAGGACGAGATGCACAAAGAAATTCAGCATCCAGAAATTCCCCAAAATCTTGGTGCTTCGTATCCTTCGAGGGAAGGGATGGAGCCAGGGGGTGCTGGGGATGGG